TCTATTTTGTAAATATGGGCCCTGGAAAAGGTTAAATTAGTTTATTTCGCTTTGGCTACAGTAGGTCATTCTAGTGGTGACAACATCCATGCATGTCACTTCTGCAGGCTGCATCATACTCTGTGAGATAAAGTGTCACTCTTTTCATAGCTTTTGCCGGCTCAGAGACACTTGCATGTTATTTCTCCAGCTCTTTTTCTAGCAAAAATGAAATCCCTAAATGAAAACTTGAAGTGAAGACCTGCTTATTTCAGGAGCCTTATCACAAGTCCATTGTTTTTGAATGTTGGTGCTACTTCTGCTATATTTTCACACTTAAAACAATAATTTGGTATTCCTTTTTGTACCATTGTCCTCTTTAATGCTAAGAAATAAGTCACCTGGCAGTTCTCTCCCAAGTGGTTACACTGCTGCCAGCATTAAGTCTGAGTATGAATCAGTGGGCTATATAACACTTTTAATTGTCAGGAAATTCCTTGTCTTTAAAAGTTTTGGTTCAATATACTTACCTGTTGATCAAAAATAGCCTTAATCCTATACACTTTTCTTTTATATATTTTTTTTTATTTAGTAACTTTCAGGAGGGTGTACTCATTTTTGCAACACAAAATTGTATCACTTTGATAAGAAAATCTAATTTTGCTGAATAATTTTGCCATTCTTCCTTGGTAACTGATCAAACAGGCTTGTTGGAACATTACATCTCCAAAGAACCCTAACATGTCTTCTAAGTAAAGAGTAATTGCTGAATTTGTTAAGTTTTAGAGGGGGTGTACTCATTTATGCTGTGCACTGTGTGTATATATATATATATATATATATATATATATATTATTGTTGTAACATGGTAATATAAGGAATGTCATTTTAAAAGAATATGTAAATAATATACTTTACATAACAGACTTTGAAAATTGTAACCTATAATAATATAATAGCTGAATGCAGGGGCGTAGCAGCCATTTTAAAAGTGTACAAAGTACATTCATGTTCACATAATAAATTCTATATAGAATACTAATTGGCGTGTTTTAGAGCACCCTAATGGCAATTTTGGGAACATGCCATGATAGCTTACAGGAAGCAAGACAGCTTACAGGGACCTATTTTTTGTGATATCAGACTCAAAAACACTCTAACCCTAACTCAAAAATAACTGCAGTACTTGGGACTTTGAGACCACTGTGGACATCTATACTTTATTTTTATTAAAGGGGTCATATGATGCTTTTTTGAAGATCATTATTTTGTGTATTTGGTGTAACAGAATATGTTGACATGCTTTAATGTTCAAAAAACACATTATTTTTCAAATACTGTACATTATTGTAGGTCCTCTATGCCCCGCCTCTCTCAAACGCTTCGTTTTCTACAAAGTCCCTCCTTCCGACAAGCGCAGTCTGCTCTGATTGGCCAGC